CCAATTAACGACGCTGTGAGGCTTCGTTCCCTCAGAGTTTTCCCCGTCTTCACCGCACCACGGAGCGGTGTTTCATCACGTTTTATCTTTTCTCTCTGTCATTTTTTATGTTCATTTGTTTTCGATTCCTCGTTATTTTGTCATTGCGAGGGCTAACAGCTTTGCAGAGTTTTGCCGTAACTCTGTAACTTTTGCCGTAACTCCAATATTTGACAGCAGAATAAGCTAAAGCTAGAGGAGTTGGATTAAGAAGTAAACAATGCAGTTTGCCAGATATATTCGAACTACGAGGTCTTTGCTGTGTTTATGGGCTGTCTTCATCTGACTTTACTGAATGTGCTCAAATTCCTTGGAAATCTAATGTTTGGTCTCCTGATAGTTATTAGATTTGTAGATTATCCTAGATTTCGAGGAGGCAGCTCATAAGCAAAAGCATCTCCGTATATGTTCGTTGCCCTTTGTCGGACTTAATATCGTATCAATAATCTTTCGAAGAAATTTCATTACCGCTACTTATGTACTCTTTTGATAAATATTCATAAACTCATAAATTCTGGATGGTCACTGGGTTTTAAACGGTACTGTTAAAATGTCAGTTTCAATATGATTAAACCATTTACACTCAACAGCTAAGTTGTCGCTAGTGTTCTAAGATGTGACATCACTATACAGCAGCTATTACCGTGTTATCTCAGTTTTTTCTAGATGAAGAATTCCTGTCTAGATGGACAGTTGGTGGTCATATTTACCCATAGGCTCTGGGTAAACGTCATTTACCCTTCAGTACACTCCCCTGCGCACTATTTTTCTCACCCTAGCGTTGTTTCCAACATCTACGGTAGAAAAGCTGCGAATATGTATGAGAAGCAGCCCCAGTGGCATCAGCGCCCTTGCCCGCTTAATGCATTAGCAGCTGAACATTGAATGAACCTTTTTTTCTGTCCATGAAATTTGAACTGTTCCATGAATAATGATTTATGGCACCCATATAGGTTATGATATTTGAAAACCTGGTGATTTGATCTTGCATTTTTCAGTCGATTTTTACCATTTCTTGACTATTTGAGTTGTTTTTGTATCTTCATTTCTGGGCGTCTTGATATAGTGCCCAGTCTACTTTAATTCGCTGGAATTTGCTTTGTCACCTAATTGAGAGAAGGGATAAAGCAGAAAAAAGTTTATGGTTGTTCGGATAACTCTTTTCCTTACACTTTTATGATGAGGGATGACGTTGTTCTGCCTCCCGCTTGATTATGTGGACGGTGAGGCGTTCGTCTTCATTTCCATGCCATCAGCCAGGAGCGCCTTATTTTAAGGCAGTATCGACAGCAGCAGTGACAGTCACTGTGTAGTTTCCTACTTCCTTCCCACCGAGTGACACTCATTTTTCAATCTTGGAAGGAAGAATAGTGAGTGATTGACCTGACTAGGGCTCGAACCCGGGATCTCTCGATTTTGAGTCCAACGCTCTTCCGGCTCAGCAACCCGGGGTGATTCAGAGAACCTGTTTTCAAGTATGACGCTGTCAGATTACGGTTGAGTTATAATTGTTCAAGCCTCTTAAGGTCTCTTATGCAAAAAAAATGGAGTTACTACAGTTCAAAATTTAATTTCTGTCAGCGTTAGGAAAATAAAATTAAATACAGGAAAACGCAAGAAATTAATATACGCAAACCAGTATTCTTATATTAGCAGCCTGCTAATGTAGATATTGTTGAAGAATTCATTGTTGCGTTCTGCCCACTAATTAAGATTGATTAGTTATTATTATTTTCTGGGTATCCTTATTCATTTAATTGTTTAATTTGTTCGTTTCTTTTTTGTATTTGTTTTTACCGGCTGATGTGATGATAAAAACAGGACCAATGAAATGAAAGCTCAACTGAATAGTGTTTTGAAAGATTTTGCTGAACTCCAAGAACAGCATGAAAATGTCATATTGAAATTGAAAACCAACGAGAAGGAACTCGAGAAGTACGAAAAGATGTGCAAAGAAGCCGGACGACCAGAAGTATTTTTGCAGTAGTGATGGTCTATTTGTTTTGCTTCATTAGCACTTGTTTTTACAGCGGTTTGACGACGGTATTAACGTGGCAGTCCATAAAGATGAAGAATTGGACACGAGAAACAACGAAGTGCCCGAGGAAGTTGCTCGGCACGTCGGTGTTGAACGCGTAGATTTCGAAGCATACAAACAGCAATGCGCCGAAGCAATCAGGTGCCTAACGCGCAGCAGCAATATTCATTTATCTCTAAGTCAATGGTTTTGTAGTTCACGCGACGTGAAAATAAGAGAACTCGAACAGTCGGTGATGGAGATGACTAAACTCAACGTCAAGCTGAACAGCGACATAAA